CACCAATTTACCCTAGGAGACCGATTTGGGATTGTTAATGTAGATAAGCGGTCCGAATTAAGCCGAATTCGAAAAAGCTTGAGAACCCCTGCTCTAAGGAATCTGAGTCCAGTCTCCCCCCATTTCCCAGTATTGCACGGATTCCATACTAAAGTGATGGAGAATCATTTGACTCTTCAGAAGTTGACTTCCCATCACTACCAGTACAAAAGGATGAAGGGAACTGTCATGCAGGATCAGATGCAGGGGTGTGGAAGCTTGGTTTTTCAGCTGCCTTGGTCTGTTACTTCTATACTAATACACCAGTACTAGTATACCTCTATACTAAAATGTGTTCTTAGCCTTCTATCTCCCAAAAGAAAAAATGTGACTCAGTATAATGAATGAAGTTTATGTTTTGAATGGAAGCAGCAAGGCTCTACTCTATGGAATCTTGGGCTGCTATCTATCTGTTAGCCTTCAAATTGCTCGTTGTGATTCCTGTTTTGCTCAACATCTGGAAGTCTCACATGAAAGCTCTGAAAACACCGCGTTGAGCTAGAACTGAGTTCCAAGTTGCACCTCACTATTTCTTGGGCTCTCTTGCAGTATGCTGGATGTGAACCCCTCTGTGAATGTTATTAATGTATGAATCTGGAAAATGCTTGTCTCCTGGTAATGCCACTAAGTCGCTTTCCCCCCCTAGGCCTTGGTTACAATGAACAGCAAATCCACAAGCTAGATAAGTGAGTATAAGAGTTCTTGTGTTAAACATGCCTAATGTTTTTAATGCTTTGTCTTAAGGTTTAAATTTTGTTTATGTCTTATGTTTAATGGTTATATGTAGCAATTAGGTTTTTTTATTTTGTTTTACTGTATGTTGGCATTGAATCTTTGCCATTAGTATGTTGTAAACCACCTTGAATCCCCCCAGGAGTGAGAAGGGGTATATAAATACAGTAAGTAAGTAAATCAATAAAATAATGTGTAAACATTATACATTTGGAATTTTAATGTCTGTCATTGCAAATCAACGCACATCTGCTACCCAAAGTGTAATTGTGGTGGTTCATTGAACAGTGGATCTTAAATGATTATGGGCAACCTTAAATTACTGAAGGATCTGAGCAACTTTCATATGAGGAAAAGTTACAGTGTCTGAAGCTCATTTGAAAAAAGGAAGGGGAGGGGAATAATAGTTGTACACAGTATTGAGTCAGGTGTGGAGAAAAAATAAGGAGACTTCCCAATAATACTAGAGCCAGTGAAGCTGAATTCTGGATACTACAATTCAAGAATACTGACAAACTGGAATATGTCAAGAGGAGGATGACCAAAATGATAAAAGCTCTGGAAATCATGCTCTATGAGGAGTGGCTTAGGGTGCTGGGTATGTTTACTTCGGAGAAGAAAATGTTAAGGGGTGATGTGATAACCATGTTGAAATATTTGAAATGATGTGATACAGAAAATGGAGCAAGCTTATTTTCTGCTGCTTAAAAAAAAAACAGAACATGAGCCAATGGAGTCATACTAGAGAAAAACAAATTCCACCTAAATATTACAAAGAACACCCTGAAGGTGGAATATGCTGTCCTGGGGTGTCCTTCTTTGGATAATCATCTGTCAGGAGTGCTTTGATTGTATATTACTGCATGGCAGGGGTGTGGCCTGGGTAACCATGTGGTCTCTTCAACTCTATTATTGTAATTTATGTGTATGAAGTTAGGAATTTGTTTTTTGTGTCAGGAGCGACTTGAGAAACTGCAAGTCACTTCTTATAGAATCATAGAATCAAAGAGTTGGAAGAGACCTCATGGGCCATCCAGTCCAACCCCCTGCCAAGAAGCAGGAATAATGCATTCAAATCACCCCTGACAGATGGCCATCCAGTCTCTGTTTAAAAGCTTCCAAAGAAGGAGCCTCCACCACACTTCAGGGCAGAGAGTTCCACTGCTGAACGGCTCTCACAGTCCGGAAGTTCTTCCTCATGTTCAGATGGAATCTCCTTTCTTGTAGTTTGAAGCCATTGTTCCGCGTCCCAGTCTCCAGGCAAGCAGAAAACAAGCTTGCTCCCTCCTTCCTGTGGCTTCCTCTCACATATTTATACATGGCTATAATGTCTCCTCTCAGCCTTCTCTTCTTCAGGCTAAACATGCCCATCTCCTTAAGCTGCTCCTCATAGAGCTTGCTCTCCATACCCTTGATCATTTTAGTCGCCCTTCTCTGGACACATTCCAGCTTGTCAATATCTCCCTTGAATTGTGGTGCCAAGAATTGGACACAATATTCCAGGTGTGGTCTAATGAAGGCAGAATAGAGGGGAAGCATTACTTCCCTAGAGCTGGACGCTATGCTCCTGTTGATGCAGGCCGAAATCCCATTCACTTTTTTTTCTGCCACATCACATTGTTGGCTCATGTTTAACTTGTTTTCCACAAGGACTCCAAGATCTTTTTCACACGTACTGCTCTCGAGCCAGGCATCCCCCATTCTGTATCTTTGCATTTCGTTTTTTCTGCCAAAGTTGAGTATCTTGCATTTGTCACTGTTGAACTTCATTTTGTTAGTTTTGGTCCATCTCTCTAATTCTGGTGTGAGAGAATTGGTCATCTGCAAGGACGTTGCCCAGGGAACATCTGGATGTTTTACCATCCTGTGGGGGGCTTCTCTCATTTCCCTGCGTGGGGAGCTGGAGCTGACAGAGGGAACTCATCCATGTTTTCCCCAGATTCATTGTTGCCCAGAAGAGCAATGCATCTCTCTCTCTCTCTCTCTCTCTCTCTCTCTCTCAATGTGATCATATGCAGGTTGCAATGCTGAACAACAGTTATTTCATAGTTTCTACTAATTTATATTACAAGATGAGGCATTAACCTTTGGCTTATGTTTGTCATTAAAAACCAAATAGTACTAATTGGAAATTAAACAAGGATTTATTGAACAATATGCCTATGCTTTTACAGGGGTTCAGGCTTTGTCTTCCAAATTATGTGGACTATCTTACAAATAATGCATTTTTTCCTTTGCTTCATTTTAAGATTGAATTTAGGACATTCAGCCAAAAAAGTTATTTCGGTATTCCAAGATAATTGTGAACACCAATACCAAGCTGCCCTTTCAGGACATGGGATTAGAATGAGGTACATAATGTGCTGTTGGAATAAAATCACTAATTGCTGATAAAGTGTCAACATTTTGTTTTCCAGCTCCTTTTATATATTGCTTTTATGTTGGAATTTCAATATCCTTTTGTATGTCATCATCCTTGATGATGCAAAGTAAATACATTGTATTTACACTCATTAAATTATTCATGTAAATTAAACTAACATTTCAAGACAAAGAAGTAATTTTTTAGCCACTCATATGGAGTTTAAGTAGTCAATTTCCGGCAATAGCATTTTTGTATTATGAATGGATTGTTTCTTTTCAACCTGCATATTTAGCTTTCTAATTGCGTGTCAAACTTAGGAAAATACAGTTTTCTTATTAGTATCTACTCCATTTGTGAAATTATGGGACTAAAAAAAGTATTTGAGCTTTATTTCCTTGGATGATATATTTCACAACAGGATAGCGGGGACCTTATAAATAAAGGCATGCTGTTGAGTTGACATTGGTACTCATTTCACCAAGGGACACACATTGTAAATCTCCCCAAACCTCTGAGTTTGAATATTGATGGACTTTGTTTTCCACTATCAAGCAACTTTCCCATATTGAAATGGAGCCATTATTAAGACAAAGAGCAGCACTTAGATAGAATGATTTTATGTTAAATGGTGTTTGGGGAATAATGCAAAGAGCAAATTGTCCAGTGGTGATGGAGAGCCATGCATTGACTTATTACGTTGAAGCAAAGTGCAGTCATTTAAAGAAATAACTGCTACCACAACTGGGTTTTTAATTGCAAGGGCTTTTAAAACACTGTGGCTTTTTCCATTTGGATACCCTGGATTTCTGATACAAAAGCCACCCCAATTAGCCTTTGCTTGTTGAATGTAAGCTGCCAGGCCTGAATAAGGTCAGTTGAGATCCAGAAACTCATATTGTTTGTCCACTATGTAGATTTGTTATGTTCTAGCAGACACAAAAGTTACCGTATATTCCGGCATATAAGACGACTGGGCGTATAAGACGACCCCCAACTTTTCCAGTTAAAATATAGAGTTAAGACAACTCCCATGCATAAGACTACATCCACGTATAAGACGACCCCTGACTTTTGAGAAGATTTTCTTGGGTTAAAAAGTAGTCTTATACGCCAGAATATACTGTAAATATTGGAACTCAAATGCAGATTTAGGTAGATTTTGAACTAGCTGATAAGTATATGTTGAATCCATCCAAAAATATACACTGATTTTAGGTTAATTTAATATTGTCACTTTACTGCTGGAATTAGTAGAGCATAGATTATGAATTCTGTGTTTTAAAATTTCAAAATAGTTCCCTTTCCTAAATAGATAATGATATTACATTTCATAGAGGCATCATGGTGGATTATCACTGGCTTGTGAAAGATTTATGTTCATTTTCAGTATATAACAACTTTCACCCAAGGGCATTGCAAATATTCTAAAGTAGACAGATATACCAGTCTTGCAAAGATGTTTATACATGGTGAACTAATTTGGGAACATCATATCACATGATTTTATGAGCCGTTTCTTGGATGCCCAGAAGTACTTTGACCTTTCAGAGTTGTACATTCCAGTTTGCCAATTAATTCCTGTCTCAGTCCACAAAGAATCTAGGCCTGTTCAGAAATGCATTTTTGTCCATAAGGAAAGGGAGTGTTCTTGTCCCACTCTCTCCTTCTTCCTCTCCATATTTTGCCAGGGAAGGAGGCCCATAAAGAAACTGGAAGTGCATTGGGTTGAATGCACTTGCAGAGCTCAGTGCAATCACTCGTTTTGAGATATCACAGTTAGAGCTTGCATAGAGCTGTGTCACGATGGAACTAAGTTACTAATCTCTTTGGGGCTTTCTCTGGAGATACAGGCAAAGGGAGTGGGAAGGATTAGAATTTGTGCATGTTTTTTCTACTTTCTTCATTTTGTATGTTTTAATGTTTCGGTGCTATTCTATTATCCAAGAGGAAGCCAAAGTGGGGTGCTAGATTGAGAAGGATAGTCCATTTTAGCGGGGGGATGAGGGGTTGGAGGAGTAAAACTATTTCCCCCTGTTTTCCTGTTGTTCCCCCCCACCCATGTCACCATCATGTAAAAAAACCCTCATGTTTGACATGGGGGGAGGGAATAATCAGCAAAAACAGGGAAAAATGTGTTCCTCCTTCAAACACCCCACCTCCCACCCAAAATGGACTATCTTTACCTAGCACCCCCTTTTGGCCTCCACCCCGATAATGGAACAGTACCAATGTATTTATTATATTTCATTTTTATTGTACCTTGCTCTGGAGAGTGTATATTTTCCTATCAATCTTCACATGAATCATCACAGTAGCGTACTTTCTCCATTCGTACTCTGTAATAGGACCACCTTGAAATGTCTGCTTTGATAATATGCTTTCTCTAAAACGATAATTGCTTCCCAGTGGAGTAGAGGGAGTATCACATATGTGGAGCACCATTAATGTTGTATAGCTTGGCTATTCCACCCATGTCAAGTTCTGTAAATGTTTGTGCTTCAGTACTTCAGGAATTCCCTCTTTAGAACAATCTTAAATGCCTATTGCTTCACAGAAGGAAATAAATTAACAACCGTTTGTGAATGTTCTCTTCTTCCCTTCAGGAAGGCATTTGAAATACAGAAGAATTTGAAGAAATTGAATCGATCTTTAACTACCTGCAGCGCAGAGATGTCAGGATGCCAGGACTGCTTGGTTAAAGTAAGCTGATTCTTTTTTTTTCTGTTCAAGCAGTTGCACAAAGGAGAAGTGAGAAATGATTGGGGACTAGGCCAATAAAACATTCTCTGCAGGCCTGGTGGATTATAAATTTATCTTCTACAACACACACATAGACAATGGATTTTTCAGGTCTCAGCTAAAGTCCTTGCACTGAACTTAATGTTAAAAGTACAAAGCAGGGAGATCCAACAAGCAATATTGGTGATCCAGCAGAAGAAGCAAACTCTGCATTGCACCAGAAAGGCATATGGTATGAAAATGTTGTTTAAATGTAGCCTGACGACAGTAAGAGTAGCATATCCGACATCATCTGAACATCTCATATTCCAGTTGAGTCTGCCATCAAGTTTGTGTGTGTGTGTGTGTGAATTTTAATTTTCTGGAAGCTATGCCTTTCATTTATATATTGCTCTTGGGGTGTTTATTTTTAAAGACACTCCACTTTTCATAATTTTGTGTCCACACAGTGGAAAAACTTGGTAAACCGGTGATTTTATCTCTCTCATTTTCTTTTGGCAGGTTTTAGACGAATTGCACCAGAGAATGCTCCAAGGCAAAACAACATCTCCTGTGCCTACTCAAGTTTGCTTAAATCAGAAACATAAGGATGTAGCATTTGGGTATGTGTGTGCAAGTGTACCTGTCAAGACATCCAGAGGGTATCATCCACTTCCCATCACTGTAATAGTTTGAGAAGAACAGCAGGTGCCCTTTATGATGCTCACCATCTCTCAAGCCTTTGTTTATACAGCAGGACTTCCATTTCCATGGTCATTAGGTATCCAAAACTCCCTTGAAAGTGGAAGAACCATGAATAAAAACACTATTTTTGTATCAGAAAGAACACCTCTCTAAGAATTTCTAGATCTTCCTGTGGAACTCTGGACACTGACAACAAATTCATGCTGGAGGACCTACCAGGCATACTTGGTAGGAATCTCTAGGTTCCCCAGCATAACTCTATGGTCAATCTCTGGTAGCAGTTGACCATAGGGTTATGCTGGGGAACCTAGCATGATGGGAAACCTGTATATGCCAGTAATACCATAATATCTATTTGAACATCTTGGCTCTTTGACTTTTTTTTCATCTGATCCTGTCTGGGTTTGAGGATCTTCAAATCTTCCCTCTGTCTTGACACCTTCATAGATGCATTTGGCGAGGACATAAGATAGAACCTTTTAGGTTTTTAGTTGAGAATGCTGGCCCTTCTTAGCTTCCAAGATCAGACAAGACCTGGTGCTTTTCAGATATTTAGCTCCACCTACGCCTAGCTCTCCAGCCACTGAAAATCTGTTTGAGAGAGTTTCTCAGTCTTCTGTGGCTATTTTTTGTGGATATATGTGGAAAGTGGGGTCCAGCCCTGGAGATCAGCAGCTCATGAGCGCCATAGTCCCTCCAGGTTCTATTAGCAAAAAAATAAACATTTGAATACTCTCTTTAGTTGTTAGTCATGAAATGTTGTCACTTTTCCATGGAGAATTTTTTCTGAGTCCCCCCAGGGAGAGAGGGTGGGATAGAAATAAAGTTTTATTATTATTAATCATAGATAAACCAAGATTGTTGGTCACATTTAAAAGCAAGTGTGTCTCCAGACCCTGCTTCTTATCACTGCTTTGTGAATTACCTGGAACTACCTCAAAAATAGTTTTCATGCTTTTTTCCATGTCACTGAGTAGTGGGCCCCCAACGCACTGTGAGATGGTATTTATGTAACAGCGAATAGTCAGAAAGTCTCCAAGGAGATGCTTTTTGCAGCCTGAGCTTGACATGTTGGTGAGAGTAAAATGAGAAAGGAGCCATAGGCAGAAAAAGGGTTCAGCAGTGAAATAATAACCTGAATACTGATTATATTCAACTAAGCTAGTGCTGAGTTGTAAAAATATGGTCCTTCTGAAGGGGTTAATTTTTTTTTTATAATTTTGTTTTTATGTGTCTTAAATTTTCAAATCCTTTCCATATACTATATTTAAGGATATAAAAACTTGACTTTCAGAATGTTTTTGTAATTAAATCTGAATGTTAAAATGTAATTTTGAAAATTGATTAGATCAGTTATACTGGCTTCAATCAATATTTTCTTTTGTTTTGCAAGAAATGTTTAACTTGCAAAACAAAATCTGATTCAATGCAGATGGAAAAGATGAGAGTGCAAGAAGCAAATAGATATGACTGCTTTGGAAGGCTGAAAGAGTATATAAGGCATCCCAGAAGATGTGACATTTTGGAGAAGAGGCATGCACTTGAGACAGTGGAAACCGAGGGCCTGTGCTCTGAGGTTTCATTATTGTTGTCCTGTCTTCTTAATATTGCATACAACATGTTCTTTGGTTTACAAAAATACAGCTCTATTTTTCCGTAGGTTGAGACCTAATATGGTGTACCCCCTACTTTCAGCAACAATGATATTCACTTTTAAATAATGGGCAGAAAGATAGGAAACAGGGCTGTATTTTCTGCATTGATATACAATCAAATATGCTTCGTTTACCAACTAAAGAAATGTCTAAATGCTCCAATACGTCTGAAATATATATGAATGCTGTCATTACCAGTTTACAATCCAAATGGATTACTCCGTATTGGAAGCCAAGAAACATTACTTTCACACAGGTGTTTGGTGTTGGCTGTTGACAGTGCCATCCACTGTGTCTCTTTGTACATACAGGCATAAATAAGTATTTGCAACTAGAGAAGGCTGATTGAACAAATGGAATGTGTACAAATAGTTGATTCAATGGATCTGGTTTAGCTCGGATTCACAATTGGATATAAGAAATTCACAGTTTTGTAAGATGAGGTAGCAACAAAAATTGGGCACAGTTTGGTTGGAATGTGCTGAAATGTGCTGGAAAATTGATGAAGGTTACTGTATATTGTTCCCAATGGAAGTATTTTCCCTGTGACCTCTTGACTGTTTTTTTTTTAATGTCAGGAGTGACTTGAGAAACTACAAGTCACTTCTCGTGTGAGAGAATTGGCTGTCTACAAAGATGTTGCCCAGGGGACGCCCGGATGTTTTTCCATCCTGTGGGAGGCTTCTCTCATGTCCCTGCATGAGAAGCTGGAGCTGACAGGTGGGAGCTCACCCTGCTCCCCAGATTCAAACTGCCGACCTTTCGGTCAACAGTACTGCTGGCACAAAGGTTTAACCCATTGTGCCACCAGGGGCTCCTCTTGACTGGTAATAGCTACAGAAGTACTGGAATATGAAAAGTGATATTTTTGTTTTCTTTTGTTTAAACAGGATACAAGAACTTCAGGATCAGATGAAAATAGTTGCTCACAATCTCCAGCTGAACAACAACATCATCCAGCGGTAAGAGGTCCTAAAATTGTTTAGTAGGGTATAAAGCAATACATGTATCAAGCCTAGTGAAATAAAGTATTCTCCAGAATTTACACAATATATACCAGCAAAAGATAACATGGCATCTTTCCCTCTTTTGTTGATCTAAACCTCTTTTTGCTTTTGTTTCTGTAGGTTAAATGGTGTTGCACCAGGACTATAGGGGACACAGCAGGGTGCTGAGCCTGAAACAACATTGTAATGTTGGAAGTTAATGTCCTCTAAGACTTACAGCAAAAATGTCATATTTGGTATTTAAAATGCCAATGAATTCTACCTCTGACTCTAGCACTTTGGTGTGGCCTTAAGAGCCAATGGTCTGGCTATTCAGCATTCCTTGTTCAGTCAAGTATCTCTGATGTTCTTAGTGTATGCTGTGAGAGAATGATTAGTAGATGTGCTGATTTTTGCAGCTGAGATGGCAATTCCGTTTCCTTGGTTCAGACTAAACCCTTTGGAGTATTTTAATCAGGTATATGTTGGGAAAGACTCAGTTGTGAATTTTTGCTTGCCATATAATTTTAAAAGTCAACGGAGCACTGCAAAAACAAAAAACTTTGGAAAACGTATTTCCCTGCAGTGTCTGTTTTTTTTCTTCAGAAGAATAAATGCATAGCTTTCTAGTAAAGATCATAAACATTAGTATCTCATTCCCTGATCATTGTTTTCTCAACCATTAATTTGATTGCTAGCCTACCTTTCTCCCGAAACGGGGACTCCGTTTAATACTGAGCAGTTTTTCCCCACTGAATAGTATTTGAAGTGTCTTAGGAAAGAAAACAAATGCTTCTGGTGTTGATTCAAAGGGATCTTATGTCTAAGGAACTCAAGGTACATGCTAGGTCTTGAGCGGTGACCCAGATACAAAATAGACATGCTAGAGAGCACTGTCTCTGCATTACAGATCTCCAGCAAGGTGTGTAGATAAAACAGCAGTGCCTGCAGACTACTATTACTGTGTATCTTTCCAAACAATAATGAATATCATAAAGCTTCTATTTGATTATCAGTGGATACAATGATTATAACTAAGGGATAAACACATGATAAGTAAGTGGATATTCTTATATGGTAGAGGAGGCTCTGGAACTGGAAAGTCTGTCGTGATAGCCATTGCTTTTGTAAATAATACATTTCAGCATAAATATTGGAAATACTGCTTATTGGTTCCTTGATACCTTCCTTTTTGAAAACAAAAGATCCAGGATTATTCATTAGGAAAGAATCAAGAAAAATATCATTTCTCTGCTGGAAACCTGATCTTATTTTTGAGAGGGTTTCTTTTGAATGTAATCTGATTTGTCATAAGGTGGTGTATTCAGGTTTATCTTTTTTACATTTGTGTTCATCTCTTGGTGTAATTTCTGTTGGTGCTATTAGTAAAATAATGCAAGGAAACAGTCAGGGCTAGCTAACACCTCCCTCCCAACAAACGATTCCTCCAGGCAGCAACCATCCAGGCTTTGAAGCTGCAAGATCATTCAATACTAATCAAGGTGGCCAATTGCAATATTCACTCTTGCCTCAAACAGACAAGAGTTCTTTCTCCCACCCTGGACATTCCACAGATATGTAAACCTCACTTGCCTATTTTCCAACAGACCTCTGAGGATGCCTGCCATAGATGTGAGCAAAACGTCAGGAGAGAATGCTTCTGGAACATGGCCATACAGGCCAGAACACTCACAGCAGCCTAATCCAAATTAATATTTAAAAGATAAATCAGCCATGTATGCAGGCAGGGATCACAAAGTAAGATTCCAGGATTTGGCATGCATGAAACCAGAATCCTATTAGGACTCAACATGCCTTGCACCCAAGACTTCACAATACCCTGCCTTGCCTGGACCATTATGACAATTGTTGGTTCTTCTCGAGAAACACTTAGATGATGGTGGCATAAAGAAGATTAGGCAGGGTTGCTACCTCTTCAAGATCTCCGCTCCTCAGAGAAGATACTAGGATCATGGAATGAACTGCACCAAGGAGTCCACTTCATGAAATGTAATCTTAGGGAACCTGGTTCTCCTATTGCCTTTGCTGTCCTTAGCTTTTGGACTCTCAATTGAAACCTCAATGCCAAAAGCCTCACTGTTCAGACAATCTTTATTAGTACCTCTGATTGTCAGTCAGGAGTGCTAACGTCTTTGCATCACTATCATCTTTTCCAATAGGCCTTTAAATCACTGCAGAAGTGATCAAAACTCATATGGGGGGATGATGATAGAATGATTCTGCACTGAGGTAATGGCAAATTCTGTTCTGATGTCTTTATTCCCTGAAGGAAAAATACAGCTTTGAAACATTATTTTGCCTACAATTTCCTCTACAAAGAAAGCTTTTTGTGATATGGGAAGAACTATGCACTATTTCCAGCCTAAGTTGCTAAAGTCCACATAAATACAAGCATGCTGCATACATAGTAATTTTACTTGTATATCAAGAATGTAGATAAGTAAACAAGCAGAATCCCTCCAGCTGTTTTGGACTATGGTGTGGTGTTAATTATTAGATTGTGGGCTTGGGGCTTGGAGGATCTTGCTTTGCAATTCCATTGAGCTATGAAAACTTGCTGGGTTTTGTCTTGGGCCAGATATTCTGCCTCGGATCGAATCACCATGAACTGCTGCTTTGATCATAAAGTGGGGCGGACAGAAGCCATGTTCTTTCAGAGTTCATAGGAAGAAAGATATGTTAAAAAGCCAACTAGTAAATAAAACTTGTATGCCCCAATAGCATGGGTAAAAGTAAAGGTTTCCCCTTGACATTAAGTCTAGTCATCCAATTCTAAGGGGTGGTGCTCTTCTCCATTTCTAAGCCGAAGAGCGGCATTGTCTGTAGACACCTCCTAGGTCATGTGGCCAACAAGACTGTATGGAGTGCCATTACCTTCCCACCGAAGCACTGACTATTGATCTACTCACATTTGCATTTTTTTGAACCACTAGGTTGGCAGAAGCTGGGGCTAACAGTGGGAGCTCACCCCATCCTGCAGATCACTGCCAACCCTTTGGTCACTAAGTTCTGCAGCTTAGCAGTTTAACTCACTGTGCCACCGTGGCCCCTGTCAGCATGGTTAATGAACCCAAAATTTTCACCCGAAACATTATCATTTGCTTGCTTCCCTTTCTGTGCGTGGTGTTACACTGAAATAAAAAAACAAGAGAAATGTCAATTTATGGCATGCCCATTCTGTTAACAAGTGCACCTGACAACATGAAAAATGAGGCACTTCCTTTTCTGTCACGTTTCTGAAGTGACACGAGACAGGTTTGTTTTATAACTGGATCTAGGGACTGTTCCTTTCATTATTACTATTTTGAAAAACAACTACAATCTGGTATTTGTTTTGATTGATGACTGGCTCTCAAGATGACATTTGCTAAGAGTGAAAAATAATGGCACCTCTCCCAAAATGGGGATTTTGAGACTGTGGGTTGTTATTAAAAATTAGTAACCAAACAGATTCCCCTAATGGATAAATCTGGATAACGACAAGTTTGCAAGTATTTCCTCTTTGGCATGTTTAACGCCCCCAATTTTAGCATTTAAGGCTTTTTCGGATATGCCAGCTTGTGATTTGGTTGCCGTATACTAGCAAACAAATCTGCTAGATTATTTTTTTACATCTTTTTTCTTGCTTCTACTGGTGCATTTGTATCCAAAATAAAAATAGACACAAGAAGGATGAAATATCTTTTGGGGACTTTGTGTGCTAAAAAATTAAAGTAGAGAAATATCAACGTTTCTACTTTCATTTAAAGCATCTTGATTGTGACATGGCCCTGTGTGCACATACACAAAGCATTAAACCAGTGAATACATAGATCCGTTCAGGTAAATCTGTACCATACAGGGTTAGTCATCAGGGAAATGTAACATGTAAAAGTGGCTCTGTGTGAATACTTATCACTCATGGTCCATATATGACGCAATTCTTTATTGTATATTGTTCCCCTGAGAAAAAAATGATGGACATCTATACTATAAACCTAAAAAGAAATTAGTGGGAGCTTCATATTTATAAAAAGCCAAGGGATGTAATAGATGTAGTATTGAGCTATTTTCATTGATTGATTTTAGTATCTTGTCTTTCTGCCTAAAGTGGCATTCAAGATGGCAAAGACTAACATTCAAATAGAAACAAATAGAGATAAAATAGGAAAAGACGCTAAACATAATTAAAAGCACATCAATAAAGGGGAACAATGCTGTCATTAAATATTGCAGCTTAATGCAAGAATACTTAACTGAATGTAGTATTCTTTGCTGGCTAGCAGAGCAAGTTAGTTGACTTGTATGTTTTATGTCCAAATTCATGATCCTTTATGTTTAATGTCCAACATTAGCACAGAATCTCTACACTTCAATAAAATGAGGTAACTACAGATTTGGGGTATCTTGAAAAAGCATCATAATTATAGTAATTTAATTCATTAGTAAGAAACTAATTTTGTACCATATAAACCTAAAGGAAGTTTGTTTCCTATTTCAATATATTGTCACAAAAGCTAGACGGTGCAGAATAATGAGAGGAGGAGAATTTCAGATATGATGCTGGAGAATAGTTCTATGGTAGCAATGGACTGTTCAAAAGACAAATAAATGGGCCTGAGACCCAATCAGGCCTGAACTGTTTATAGAAGTCAACTCAATGTAATATTGAGCCCCAGTGGTGCAGTGGGTTAAACCGCTGGGTTGCTAAACTTGTTGACCAAAAGGTCGCAGGTTTGAATCTGGGGAGCAGCGTGAGCTTCCGCTGTTAGGCCCAGCTTCTGCCAACCTAGCAATTCAAAAATATACAAATGTGAATAAATCAATAGGTACCACTCCGGTGGGAAGGTAATGGCACTCCATGCAGTCATGCTGGCCACATGACCTTGGAGGTGTCTACGGACAACGCCAGCTCTTCGGCTTAGAAATGGAAAGGCGCACCAACCCCCAGAGTCGGACACGACTGGACTTAATGTCAGGGGAAACCCTTTACCTTCATCTTTTTCAGGGTATATAAACTTATAGAGCATGACTCATTGGAAAATAAGATTATGCAGTTAGTAAAGCTGAAGACTATGCAGATGAATTGGCTCAAGGACACCTGGGTTTACAAGACCTGAGTTGATGACTGAGACTCTCATTGCTGTAGTCCAAAGAGGATTTCACAGCAACAACAAAACTTTGGAACCTTTGCACTCTGCCTTTGCAGAGAAGGAGAATTACATGTTTTGTTTTGCTTCATGGAATAAAATTTCTTGGACTGTCCCTGTCTTGGATCTACAACTAGATGGCTTTCCCACTCTACACCTTATGTTCCAGGTGAGCACAAAATCAGGTGTGTTCCACATTTCTTCTAGATCAGTGGTTCTCAACTTGTGGGTCCCCAGGTGTTTTGGCCTACAACTCCCAGAAACCCCAGCCAGTTTGCCAGCTGTTAAGATTTCTGGGAGTTGAAGGCCAAAACATCTCGGAACCCAAAGGTTGAGAACCACTGTTCTAGATGGAAGCAACTAAAAGTAGAGCTTCACCTGTGTAGCTTCTATGCTCTGGGATGCTTTTCAAAGTGCGGTGAAGGTATGTTCTCTTTTGATATTTTCTGCTGTGGCTAACATTCAAAACTTAAATTTCAGCTTTTTGTTATTTCATTTTTAAGGCAAACTTCTTGTCTCTTTTGCAAATTGTGTTTTATAGTTCTAGTTAATTTTTGGAATAGATTTTTTTCATGCATTGGTTCCAGTCCTGTAAACTATATTCCATTTAGATAGAACTCGCTGAATTTAGCTTATTCTGGAAGCTGCTGCAAAGAGAAAAGAACAGGGATAAATTTCAGGCTCAAATTTGGTAACAAGCCAACATTGATTAGGATGAATAAATGAGTGAAAGGCAGGCGTCTTATGGCTGCATATATGCTTGATTATAAATGTTTCACTTTCTTCCCAAAGTCAAACCAGAAAACTTGGCATTTCCAAGTTCTCATTTCTTATTTTGATTTATCTTAAACATACAGGTTTGATCCTTCTTATGTGCATATAAAAGTTTTCATTCCAAAAGGAATTGGCTAAGGAAAGGAATGTATTGCTTTCTTGTGATAAAAGTAAAATTGACAGTTGAATTGGGGAGTTTATAGCAGCATCGGAAAGCTAAAGTTGAAGGAGCTTTTTAAAAGTCATGCTTTAGAAGAGTCTCTTTTGGTATGTGCAACAAAGTCTAGTATGGTTGAGTATTCCTGATCCAGAAATCCAAAATGCTCCAAAATTTTCCAGATGGGTGGCTGAGGTAGTGATACCTTTGTTCTCTGATGGTTCAATGTACACAGACTTTGTTTTATACATAAAAGTATCCCAAAGGCTGAACAAATCTGAAATATGGAACACTGCTGGTCCAGGCATTTTGGTTAAGACATACTCAATCTGTACACTCAGTCTAGGGAATTTCCTCCTGCCTACACTCAACAAGAACTCATCAACTTGCCTTTATTATGTTCTGGAGAACTACAACATACTGTAGATGAATTCCTTGGTCTGTCTCATTTCATTTGCCCTGCTGTAAGCTTACCCCTATGTGAATGGAAGGACTGACATGATTTATGCTTTACACAGAGCACTTGATTGTTAGGACTACCTCTAACAATCAAGTATTTTGAGGAAGGACTTCAATCCATCTCATCAATGCCCCATTATCAGCCCCTACTTTGAGGAACTGGATGTGGCACTGGGTTACTCCTCTTCCTTTTTTCCCCTTTACGAAAAGAAAGGGGGAACCAATCCATCCACATTTCAGCCAGTGCTGGGGGTGCTTGGAGAGAACAGATTGATCATCCACCTCCCTTAAGTGGGGAGGGCGGCAGAGAAGCAAAACAAAACAGAAGTTCTTGGAAATGTGGGATTAAATAACCAGGTAGAAATTGTATAGCCGGAGCTTCAGGTGCACATCATGTCACAATTAAGATTAACAGCCACAGAAGCTTTTCCCCTTCGATCAACGAGTAAACTCACACCTTTGTCTTTGCAGCAGACTTTATATAAAATATATATAGAGAGTCCATTTACAGTGGCTGAAGACTAGAATACTGAATAAACTCCAACCTTCCAACTCCTTTATTATTCCAGCAGTTACTTCACTCTGGCTGTAATTACACAGTGCTAGCCAAGTGGCTTGGCTCTTACTGCTTGCTGCCCTGATCCTTACACTACTTATTACTTAAGATATGATAAAAACTCTTAATATCCCTTAATATCCATGCCATGAAGAATTAGGGGTGGGCATCATAATTTTTGAGAAATCTTGGAGAACAAGTGAGGTGCCAGAGGACTCAGACGGATAAATAATATCCCTCTGTTTGTTTGTTTTTTAAAGGAAAATTCACAAGGCTGTGACTGTTTTTACCAGGATCTCTCATATTGGCCTCTTTTCCATGCTCTCTGAAGTCATATTCCTAAAGTTCAAGCTTTATGTAAATACACATAATGATATCTACATGACAACTATGTTTGGAAGGTAGAGAAATGGTGGGTAGGAAATGGGTTAATTAAAGACCCTTTCCAATCCTTTTGTGCATTTCTCAGCACACCATTTCCTGCATTTCTGGGGAATGTATTCTGTCTGGAATAAGCCCTCTTATTTTTCTCAGATTTGCACAGAGGGGTACCTAGGAAGGTAAAAGGACAGGGTGTGGGGGATGTGTGGACAACCGCTTTTAAAGCCGGGTAATGAGACATATTGGCTTGAAGGATTTGTTACGCTCCTTACCTTTTGCCATTTTTTCACCTTGAGACTTTATGAGGCACTGTGCAATCCTCAGGAGGTTCTCTGCTGACTCAGCTGTGTGCCAGCAGCCACAATGTGTCAGGGAGTGATATAGGAAACCCAGAGGTCTCTGGGGGGCAAAACATTAAGATGATATCAGGAAGCTATTTGCCATCACAGAAGCAGCTGCAGTATTCCTGCCTTGCACCCCATTCAGCCTGCTTAATAAGTGATTTATGGGTCCAAATCCCTATGGATGGGAATGGGCAAAAAGCAAGGTCTCCAAGCTGCAGATGGAGCCAGCCATTTCAGTGATAAATACAGCTTGCAAAAAAATGAAACTGCTGTGCCGAATGAAAGGGCACCTCCTCCCCTTTCTGAGAACAAATATTTTAGAATAGAAGAAGTGATGGTTTAAAAGGAAAGGCATTCCCAAGGCTGCCCTTTCCTCCCACCCTTGAGAGATAAATCACGGTGCCTGGACTGTTAATTTCCCTTCTGTGCTAATGATGCTACCTTTAGGGTAAGTGACAATGAATCTTTAGAACAGGCACCTGCCACTCGGGTGTAACCCTGCCAACTGGAGTGTGGCCTCCTCTCACAGCTAGTGTCAACCATCAGGCGAGCCATGGGATAATTGAAATTGAGAGATGGTTACTGAAGTATGTGAATGGCTTCATATAATTTGAGACCTTGTAGCTGGGAAAAATTCAGGCACATAAAAGAGTTGGGCTGTGATGTGGGTTATGTGTATAAATGAAATGCACAGCCAAATGTGTGTGTTCTTTTTCTTGCCAGTTGGTATCCTCTTTCTCAGGGCACACCTTATAATTTATTCTGGCAGGGGCAGTTCTGGGAATTGTAGTCCAAAATGACCTTTCCAAGCTGTGAATATTGGATAGATCACTCTGTGTGGACTTTATATAAAATAAAAAATGATCCCACAACCTTTTGTTGTCATGGAGGGGTGCTGTCAGATTCCTCATGCTACCCCTTTTAATATATCAACAATGGAACTAATCCCAAGACTTCAACGCACATACTCCTGCCATAAAGTGTTCTGTTTACTACATCTCTAAGTGATAAAATCTTTCACTCTGAAGTAACCTGACAGCCTGTTCTGTCACTGTGATCTAAAGAGACTTGATGTTCCCTTCCTGAATTTAGTCTCTTAAGCTATGACTGAGCATTGCTTTCACTCTCTTGGCATGGCAGCTGTGCCAACATTCAATTTAAAAAGCCCTAGGAACTGCACTCAGTTTCAGTGGTACTTATTTTCTTAGATTATTTTCTCTCTCTAGTTCATTGCCTTTATCTGACAAAGGGCAACGAATGTTTGAAGGCAGGAATCTCTATGCAAATCTTCTCAACCACAAGAGACTTTTGTATAAATGTGAAAGGAAAATCAACTGTAATGTGCTCTGGGATTTCATGTGTGGTGGTTGTGGTGAAACCTTCTCTGCTAGGTTCAGTTGTTTTCTTCCTTTCTTTCCTCACAAGACAAATAATTCCTATGCAATTCATGTAGGATTCCTCTTTGGAAGATGAGAATCAAGATTGGACCTTAGTTGGAACACTGCATCCAAGGCTGAACACAAATATCCAGAAACTAAGGTTGAGAACAATGTGAAACTTTGGCTTGTCCCCTATTTTCTGTGTTCTTGAACTCTTGCTGATTGCTCTCCTGGTTACTTGAGTTGGCATATTCCACTGGCCTTCACTTCTGACTAGTCCTTGCTGCTATTTACATCCTTTGGGATACATCTGACC